TGACACCGTCATGAAGAACGCTTGTGTGGCTGCTCTCAAAGCGATGAAATCATCATGAAGAAAGACTTCTCAGTGTAGTTCATTTATTATTTTATAAACGGTAGATGATGACTTCATCTGTGAACACGGATTAATAGGGACAATGAATGATACAGGTACGACATAACAAGAAATAATATGGGGTACACTACATAACGTTCAGAGAACATGAACTAATAATATCATATAACACATAGCCATACAATATGAGGTACCACATCTTTTATTCATGTATAGAAATGCCTCTGATATCAGGTGGATCATTTGAAATTTCTCCCAGAATTTGAAAAGAGGAGATGTATACTGGCTATTAATGTAGCCTAACCTAAGCAACAGGACTTATTTTTTGGTGTACTTATGCGGGTGTTGGCAGGTGGTATGGTGTGATTTGCTTCTTCTTTCTTATCAAACATCTATTGTCCCTATCCCTCCTTTTTTATTTAATATTTGGCACTCAATGTTAGTGATTTGCTTCTTCTTTCTTATCAAACATCTATTGTCCCTATCCCTCCTTTTTTATTTAATATTTGGCACTCAATTTTAGTTATGACCTAATTATTTTTTTGCAAGTTCCGTTAAACTCACCCACTACCTTTTATGGGCATTTAACGTGACAGTTCGACTGGTGATTCCTAGACAGAGAAGGTTATATGTTCTTCACTTGCACATCTTAGCCTTCAGAACTGAACTAAATCATTTTTGGAGTTGCCTGGGTCCCATATGCTCCTTCCTCGACAGACTAGAGACATATGATATTATCCGTAATCATTTTAAAGGCTCTCATATTCTGTTTTACTGCAGTGTCCTAGGGAGTTAAGATCAGAAAACTCCATTGTTTGTTTTCAGTTTTAATTTCACTGTGGGTTTGTACATGATAATAAAACCTCTTGCTCCAAGGTAATCTGCTTCTCTTCTTGTGCCACACTTTCATTTACTTTTTATGTAGGCCTTACATGAATTATATTTTCGGAAAGTACACCTTCTCTCTACTTTAATGTTTTAAGTTTTTAGACTGATTTTCACAACCATGATATGAAAGATGTCTGCTTCATGGGTGTAAAACACAGCTTTACAGGAAGGCACACATCAGTTTGGCAGAGTGCATGCTGGTGTGAGGTAGATGTGACCGAAGTTTGACCTCACCTTAGGGTCAAGTCAGCCAGCAACTACACCACTGTGGATCCGCTAAGTAGTAAACCGGCCTTCATGTTTTTGTTCAAAATGACATTAAGTGCTGTTTTTGATATTGTTTGATTTACTATTAAAATTTATTTTAATTCTTTTCATCTTTTTCAGAGTTCAGTAGGACAAAAGTTGCCATAGAATGTGGATTTAGAGATCTCGTCATGTCTACTAACCATGCTGTAACCCCGGATCAGAGGCACAACATTTCTCTACTTCTTGAGGCAATACAACTGCACTTTGAAAGTCAGAATCTCAAGACACGGATTTTGAAGTGTCAGTCACAAGCAATAGTGCAGTGGAAAGATGGCAATGGCCTTGACTTGCTCCACCATTGTATCTTAGAAAACAATGTCATCGCGCTTGTCCATTTGTTGAACCGAGGGCTCTTTAAACCCCCTTATGAACCCCGTATTTGGCCTTACCTACACTTAGTAGCTTGCCTTGGATACAGAACTTTCATTTCCACAATAATTCAAGATATGAAGTTTCAACATGAAGCAGTTGTTTTAGACTGGAGTGTCTACTCTTGTGCCATTAAATCAAAACTCCATCAGCAAGCTCCAGAATTACAAGAGGCTGAGAAAAGTAAAAAACTCACACCTGTTGACATCGCTGCATTATTTGGTAACATACAGTGTGTCCGTCTCATTCTTGATTTTTGGCAAGTTCAGAACTCATCATCTGAACATCGACGAAAATCAAACTCAACAATGGCGCCAACTTCTTACTTGACGATTGCTTGTCAAGTAAATTCCCCCAACGCTCTCAGACTTTTGTTGCAAGAACACAGTGACAAGAAAGAGGCACTGGAGTCTGCGATGAGGATGGGTGTACCTGAGTGTATTGATGTAGTTCTACGGGAGGGAGGCTCCCAAGATGTGAAGAAGGCTTTCCAGGGTATGAACTTGTTCCATGTGCTCTACTCCTACAGAAGTTGCCGGACTCCAAACCAGTATGAAGCCATGGTGGAGATTACGTCAGTGCTGTTACGGCACAATCAAAATGTTAATGCCTGTAGGCCTTCGCGGACATTCCCTCTGTATAGTTTGTTGAGCCATTATCCTGGCGGTTGTTCTGTGGATGAATGTGCACCCTACCTTATTGCTGCTCTTTTGGTGCTGGTCAGTGCTGGTGCTGATCCCAACGTAGATGAGATTTTGATTGAGGAAAAGCTGAGAGACCCTGAGCAGAGCACAGCATTTGGAAGGCGGCCTTACTCTAGTGCTGTCCACTGTTTGCTGTGCACTCTTCCTCTACTCAAACGGGACGTAGAAGATACTTCTTCAACAGATCCAATTGATCAGTATGTATACAGTGCATAGAAATTCTACTTCGACATGGTTTGGATTTGGCTTATTGTGGTAAATTCAATGAAAAATCTTTTTACGATGACACTCTTAAAGGATCTTATCATGAAGGAACGGCCTTGCATGTCTTAACCTCTACCAGAGCAACATGTTTCACAAGTTACCCAATTTTACGCTTATTGCTTCGGTATGGTGTTGACGCTGATGCGAGAGGGAATTGGCACATTCCGACATTGAACACAAATGTTCATTATGCACTGAACGTTCTTCCATTTTCTGTATGGACACTCCCTCTTTCCAATGCAGAACTCAGCCCAGTAATGCACATTTTCTCAGAGAAAGACTTGAAACACTTTAAGTATATCATGAAGTTCATGAGCCAGAGGTCACTTATTCTGGCATATCAGGAATTTGTGGACACGTTTGAAAAGCTGAAAGTTGCTACTGAAAACAATAATGAGCTTCAAGAATTGGGAAACATTCACTTTCTGGAAGACAAAATGTATGAATCGGTCCTTGAGGAGTATAGGATGGAGACCCAAGAACCATGGTCACTGCAGAGATGTTGTTCAAAGGCTATTTGGAGATCCTGCAAGCTGCACATGGGAAATGTCTTTGAACTGCCCATCCCAGGGCCATTGAAGAGAGTTGTTTTGAGTTTCCACTGACTGGAATTAATGAATACTTTAATGTTACAGTGTGTGTGTGTATGTATCACTCTGTGTGCTTGCATGTTTATATCATACGTGTTTGTGTGCATGTTCATGTGTGTGCGTGTGTGTGCATATGTGTATGTGTGTCTGGTATGTGTGTGTGTGGGTTTATGTTAGTGTTTGTGTGTGTGTGTATGTGTGTCTGGTACGTGTGTTTGTGTGTGTGTGTGTGTGTGTGTGTGTGTGTGTCTTGTTGGCTCACTCTTATGTGTACATGTGCACATGTGTATAATGTGTTTGTATCCCACTAAAATGCACTCGTATTAAACAACTGCTATTGAAGTTTATACTTTTCTACTACAAGCCATTGACTGTATTATGTCTTGAGAGAGTCAGCTGACCCTGGCAACGGGCACACTTGCCTTGATTGTTATTTCCGTATATTCTATAAACATAGTAGGCCTACAGTCAATGCAATATTATGACATGTAGTCATCATCATCATTGCCTTTTTCACCCTGCGTCAGGTTATAGGCCACAAACAAACATTTTCCATTTTTCACTATCCTGGGATAGCCTCTTGATGTTATTCTATGTCTTCCCACTTTTCTGCACATCAATTTCTGTGATTCTTCTACAGATTCCTAGCAGTCTTCCTAGATTGATCTTTTACCCTGTGGATTCCAATCCAGCACTTTCTTGGTTATGCAGCTGCCTGACGTCCTGAGAGTATGTCCAATCCATCTCCACCACCTTCTTCCTACCTCATCTCTGACCGAGATTTGTCATGTTTTCCCTAACACTTCCTTGTTGGTGACCCTGTCTGTCCAGCTGGTCCTCAGTAACTTTATTAGACACTTGTTCAAGAAAACGTGGATCCTCTTTATGCAAGTCTGAGATGCGTTCCATGTCTCACATCCATACAACAGGACTGACTTCACATTTGAATTGAAAATCCTCAGCTTTGTTCAAAGTGAGATATCCCTGTCTTCCAAATCCTCTTCAAAGATATGATAGCAGACTGTGAGAAAGCGGGTGGTTGAAGGGTGCCACTGGTAGATCCTACTTCTTTACTTGACCTCTGTTGTTTCTGTCTGTCCGTCTTACTTTTTCCCAGCACTAAATGACCTTTACTGTGTCGATGTGCTTCTTTCTACTCAAACACAAAACAAACCTGTGAGAAGAGTATAAGTTTCAATAGAAGTTGTTTAATAATATTAATATACGAATGCATATATTAGTACAATGTACTCAAATATCTGTCATTTGGCACTTTGGTACATGTAGTCAGATTCTGTTACAGTTATGCTTCTCAGCTCTGAATTGATAACTCTTGCTAGATCCCAAATGCATTCAAACTTTCGTCCAGCAAGTTGATTTTTCAGAATAGTAAATAGCCAGAAGTTACACTCTGAAAATTTTCACAAAGCAGTTTTTTACAGTGCATAAAGATGTAGAAACATGTTTTCCTTTGTGAATCACTTTGTTTCCTTCGAACAGCTGTTGGCTCAGTTGGTATCGTGCTGGACTGCAGAGCGGATAACCGTGGTTCGGATCCCCTACAGATTATTCTGACTTAAGGTTGTTTTGGAGAGTTTTTAAGACTCAACCACCCATTTGGTTTAGTTTTATCAGAGATGGATGTTAAATTCTGAGGTCCTGAATCTTATATGGTATTACAGTGTTTAAAATGGCATTACGCCTAGATTCTATACAATGTCCTATGACTTCTAGAACGCAACCCATCCTTAAATTGTGACGTCATAAAATAATCAGGAGTGAAGTCACATGACACCCCCATAGTTGACTTGAGAGTAGACTTGTTATAGATTAAATTACATGCACTGCTTTTATGACTGCTAGATGGTAACTTTCATTGCTTTCATCCATCCTTGAATATATATAGGCATGATATTTTATAACAGATTTTATTTTTTAAAACTTTTATAGTATTTTTAAAAAAATATCCAATTTGACCAAATTTGTCATATAACTTGTATTTTACCTTGTAAGTATGGGTCAATGTCCTTTTTCTCTGAGGTATGATCTTTTTTGTGGTGTTGTTACTGAAGCATTAATTTTTTTCAACATTATTTGTAATGTTGAAAATAAGAATACGTGTGGGCCCAACTCATTTTTTTCTTTTCTTTCTATCTTTTAAATGATCTATTTCTCATATACGTTAAGATCTTGCTGTGTCTTTTAAACCACATGGCGAGCACGTAAAATTAGATGTTGTATTTGACCACTCATTTACCTTTACAGCCCCAGTCATATACAGTTGAGTCCAAGAATCTCAAACAGGAAAGTCATGAATTCTTTGGTATCTCGAACATAATGCTTGGTCCCGTTTCTTCAGTCTCTATGTTTTCTTTGTATTGACTCCACAGAGTTCGCAAACACTCGGAACATGCAAAACTCAAATCTTGAACGAATCCTCTTCTCATTCTCAACTAAAGACCCGGCTTTACAGTCTTTCTGCCTGTTGGTAGATGTTTCTTTGTTATTGTTACAGCCAAAGTAATTATGGTCCTTGTCTCACTACTGCAGCAAGGGGGGGTGGGGGTGGGGAAGGGGGGTTGTGGAGTGATGCTAACCGCACTGCATGACTGGCTCGCCTTGCGTGCAATCATGTTGTGGGACCCGCGCGGTGTTGATGGCAAGAAGCGTAACTTTCTGCAAGCCAATGAAATGAGAGGAAAGGAATGACATAAGAGTCGGCTGTGCACACATGAGATTTCTGCTTTCCACTTTCATTCATCTTCTTCAACTTGCTTTCACACCGTGAACACCTTCATAAGAGGAGCTAACCATGTTAATTGTTTTAATGGGTTTTTTAAATCTATCTAGTATTTTGATTTTCTCTCTATTTCTTTGTATTTGTTGGGGCTTTCATGGACATGACGAATTACGGAAATCTCGAACATTATTTCCAATACCCGACGAATTTGAGTTACCCGTATTTCACTGTTGTTCCCTCTCAAGTTTTCATTCCCCAGCCTCAATTGCGTATATTTCCCTCACAGGATGCTGCCCACCTCATAACCTGTTGCATATTTTTACTGTAATTTATTATCTGTTCAAGCAGACAAAATCGGTATTGGCTGGACGTGAGGCATCAATAAGGACTCCAGTATTATCTGAGTCAAAGGGTAGTGAGGGCTAGAAATAGCCTGCTGGAATAGTGTGAGCAAAGATTCTCGGTTGAGAATGTTTGGTGTGAGGGGTAAATCTAGATAGAGTTTACACTGTTTTCTTGAACCCTGATTTTGTTGTTGAGCTTACAAGTTTTATATCTGTGAGATTTTTTCAGGGAGTGAGAGAGGGTCTGGAAGAGGTCCACAATAAATGTCAAAAGAGTGTTTAACTAGTATCTAAAGATCTCAATACATATGTACATTTACAATGAATATAATACAATTTTAAAAAATACTTTCAGTAATTTTACATTTAGGAGATTCATATCTGTTTTCTTTAAGTAAGAAAGTGACCTGTGTTTGCCATCTTTTGTTGATAAGCCATATCGTCCTATGACTTTCAGTAAACTTTTGCCTTTTTCAAAAAGCTGCGATTGCATGGTATTAGTTTTTTTTCTTTTTCTAAGGCATATGGTGTTGGTTTATTGCCCTTCTTTTTTGTATTTTTGTGAAAATCATAGTAAGAAAAGTTTGATCATTTTCACCGTGCAGGGGGGACCCGAGCTGAGTGTCTCATCAGACAAACGGTGATACTCAGTAAAATTTGCTGACCCTCTTTTGAGTATAATAATAAACTGTTGTCTAGGTTGAACAAGGTAAAGAAATTTAGTAATTGTTACACAACAGATGTGGGTTGTGTAATTATCATTTGTGAGGCAGTGTGGTGAAATCAGGCGCTTGTCAAAACAATGATTGAAAATCAAGAAACTGGCATTTTTCTGCAGATTTGGGAATTTTTATCGAATTTTTGTTTTTTGGCTCAACACCTTTCATGCCCAGTAAAGAACACATTTCTGTGTTGATTTTACTGAACAACGTTAATTAAAGACATAGAAGATGTAAATTGTCAGTTTCCAGGGACTCTCAAACTCAAGTGAAGGAAATAAGTAAACTTGTGGTGGCCATTTTCTCGCTAATTTTACCTCTGAAACCAGGCTGTCCCCACATCCTTAAATCACCAATATCCTGACTTGTATCCAAGATAAATTGATATTTTGTTACTTCAAAAGCAAGGAGAATGGACTGGCTTTAATATGATACCTATATTTGACGAGCGCCTGATTCGACAACACTGTGACACATTTTTCTTTGCAATCCAAATTTCTGAGAACAATATTTAGTGGTCTCTGTAATTTTCACTCAGATGAAATAACAGACAAACAAAGTTGCAAAGTGGGAGATGATTTTCTGTCCCAGTTGTTTTATGCCTAAAAAATTCTGAAATTATGCAAATTGAGCCCAAAAATGTGAAATTATGCGATTCTGTTAATTTTAACAAAGAATGAAAAAGAAAAATAATAAGAAACTATGCACACAAAAAAAGATCAAATTTTGCTAAATTATGCGGGGTGCATAAAACCACAGGGACAGGGTATTACATATGAGAGACAGGGTTTGAATCACAGGTGCAGTCTTCAAAATTAGCTATCATCTTGAGGGAAGAAAATGAAGTATAAACAGTGCTGAGCAGGTTGTTAGAGGGTACCACTTGTACTTCTTACTTTTTTCTTTTCCTCTTCTGTTTCTGTTGGTCTTATTTTTTCCTTGAAATATTATTATAAAATTTGTGTCCATGAGCATCTCTTCACTGAAACTCAAACAAACAGTGTTGGATTTCTCCTCTTGTTGTTGTTACTCTTGAATCAAACACCTTCACCACTTGTGTTACCCTTGCCGTACACTTGGGCTAGCAAGATAGTTATAAGTAGTACATCATCATATGGTGACAAAGCTGAATATTACAGGCAGCCTTTTTACCAGTTGCTACACATTTTAGCGGAACCATGACACTCGGTTTAATATTGAACTCTATTACATGTTGTAATGACATGGTATTGACCAAAGCAGTGAAATGATGTATACTACTACTGGTCCTAGCACATTTGGTGGTATCGAAGCTATTGAATCCCATATTTATTATTACGTGTTCAGGAAAGGAAAACTATCATGCGTCTTGCCAAGCAACAAATTAAAAGTAGAACCTAATGGACATTTGAAAATAATTGAAGCCCTGGGATTTGCTATCCTGCAGATGATTCAAACAGTACTTTTATATATTATAAATGCCTCAAATGATCCTTTTTGTTCTATGTTCAGTGGATGAATCCAGTTCTAACTTCTTCTTAAATCTTTTCTTCTCTAATGTAATAAGTCTGACACGAGAAGCACTCACTTGAAGCAGTCATGCTGTGCTACAATTTCTGCAGTGTGGAGATGCTGTGTCGTGAAAATCAGGGGAGTCTCACAGCTGAGCTGTACACCTTGGCTGCTCGTTTGAGCGACAAGTGTGACACTACACCAACCTTTCAAGAACACAAGGGACAACACAATCGTCTCTGTGACTCCAAACTATCATATTCAGAGATGTTTATTTCCATTGGTTTACATTTTATCACAGCTTGGGTCGTGGGTTTGCTTTTTGAAAGCTTGAAGTAGTTGAATCACTTATACGTGCATAATGTCAAAATGAAGGAAAAGAGACGAAATACAATGTGGGCATTGGGGACATACGTAGGAGAAGATTTATGTATGGTAATAATAACAATAAACATAATAATAATATTAATAATAATATTGATCACCTGAGATTGACATGCACTATATATTATATTATACAGTCTGGCATGCACATAGTGAACACGGACACAGCGAAAAATGCACACAGAGAACAGATTTTTAGGTTCCAAATTTTTTTCTTTTTTATACTGGTAGATCTATATATATTGAACTTTGTATTCAAAACATGCAAATTTCATTTACTAAAGAAGCCATGATGAGAGTTAAAAGTAGGTGTTTTTATACCCCCATCGACACAATTTATCATCATTGGGGAGGCGGGCTTTGATCCTGCTTATCAGGGTCAACCTAGGCTGAGAGTGATACATTATCCCAGCAGAAAGACTGAAATACTGGATTAAAACTATCCCACTTCAGGAATCGAACTCGGGTCTCCTTCATACAACAGCGATTATGCCTAACTCACTGCTACACCACAGATGTTGATGATGAGAGAGAGAGAGACAGGTGGCATAGTATGAGTCTAGTGTAAGTCAATGGCCTCTCTATATGTATTTAATTTAAGTCAAGGGTAGTAGTATAGGCAAAGGATGTGTGTATTGTGTATATACATCACAGTCACTTGAACCACACTGGTATACGGCTGTAAATTTAGCCTGCACACTTCAGATGCGTGGCCAGTCTTCTGTCACATAAAGGCATTATATCCTGTATTGTCCCCAGACATGTCAGTGCACTTCCTCTTCTACGCAGGTTACACATTAGGCAACAGCTTGCGGTGTTCTGCAAAGTTAGGTCTAGGTGAAGTTGTCATTGAGAGTGGACCATGGTGGAACAAAAGAAGCAGAAAAACTTCTTGATCAAGTAAAAATGGCTAATCATTGCAGAGATGGATAAAAGATCAAGGTAAAAAACAACAACCCAAATCTGCACAATGTTTAACTGACTATGAGCCCAATGCACATGTATATCATGGCATGGCATATGGGGCATAACTCATGTAAACATTTTGGCCCAATTTTCCAGCTTTGTCTATCTCCCCTAATATAGATCTAGCACGCATGAGCCAGGTATAAAGCATAATTTGTGCATAATGAAAAGATTTTTGCATCCCACCAATTTTGCTCTATGTGTGTGCTAAACGGTATATATTATATGTAATTTTTGCAGGACATTTACTTCAGTTGTTATAATAATGGAGTTTGTTACTGGCTATGAGCCACTGGATTAAAATATATATAAGAAATTATCAATACTCTTTATAAACTGTCTATACCACCCCTTCCATGTTGCATAAGATGTGTGTGTGTGCACGAGTGTATAAGTGTGTGTGTTTGTGTTAGCTGTCAATACCACCCTTCTCACAAGGTATAATATGCACTCAGAGCAAAATATATGGTCTCTTTTAAGGACAAGCGACCTAACCCAGACTTCGGGGTTTTCCAGAAACCTTAACCTACACCAAAAGTGGGAATTGCCCTACCTGTAGGAGAAGTTTGGTTTAATTGGTTTGTATATTTGTTCGGTTATAGAGAAAACTCTCCTTGTCTTTTAAAGAAACTGAACAAGGGGCCAAAACTTTACCTTCGATTTTCTCAAAACACCTTTTCTCGGGATAACCCCCTTGTGCATGAAATTTAAAGCGACCATATGTCTGGTAAAAGTAACATCACAATTGTTAACTGAACGATGGTTGGAGAGCACCAGTGGTATGTCCTATTTTTTCCTTTAGTAGTACTGGTATCCATCTATTCATCTTGCTTTTCTCCTACCTTAAAATTAATTATTGTTAGTGTGTCTATGTGCTTCTCTTCACTCAAACTCAAACTGGCTAACTAGCTGGAATGTTGAAGCACACCGTCAGTTTCTCTTCCATCTCTGTGTCCGGAATCATCTGGAAAAGACAACAGAAAATGTAGTTCCCCTAAATATGATAATCTAATGGAAAGTTTTTCAAACATGAACTGTTCACTCTTCCAATACTTCCATACAGTCAGGCATATAGATAACTCAAACACGTCTGGAATTGACAAATGTGATTGGCATATATATCCATAATTCAGGTTAACTGATAATGAAAAGTTAAAGAGATATTTGTCGGGGAATGACAAATTGTATGAGCTTTCCTTGATTTTGGGTATACTTTGTTTGTGTTATCTGTGCCCAATTGTACTATGAACATGAAGAATGAAGTGAATAGCTGAGACTGACAGTAGGCCAAGATCTGCACACATATAAGTCTGAGTAGCTTTAGACAACTGTGTAAGTAACCTATTGTGTCCCAGACCTGTACAGTGGAACTCGGATTCAACGAGAACTTGGATTCAACGAGATGAGATAGATTCTCCGTATTTTTTCTTCTTTAAAATCATAACCTGGATTCAACGAGCACTTAAATCAGCGAGCTCGGATTCAACGAGGTCGCTTCCAGGGTGAACAGCCCCCACAGATGTGGCTTCGCTCGTTTTTCTCCCAGAACGAACTTTATATATTCCCGGAAACCATCCATTGCACTTGCATCGTGTAGCATTATTCACTTAGTCAATTGCATGCGACCAATCGGCGGCCTTTTTTCATACCAACACAAGCGTTATTGACACGGGCACGTGTCTACTCTGGTGTGTGTCGGGGTCGGATAGGCAGCCTGCACACGAGTGGCAGTGTGTACGTGTCGGGGATTGGAGGCACTAGCGGTCTGGACGTTGAAAGCCGCAGATACAAACGTCTCAGAGTATTTTTTCCCCCCTCGCCAACTGATCACTTTTACAATAATAAGCTAGTCTTGACGTAGATCTACATAATGAATTGTGCGCTGGTCTATGGAATCAAAAGTTGCCGTATGCTCGGCTCTACACAACAACACAACTTTTTGGGAAACAATCGAGATGACTCAGGCTTGAGCATTTGAACGAATTGGGTCTTTTTTTTTACACAGCTCATAATATGCAGGCATTTCAGGCACTACATGTACTTGTGACTGCTCTTTATACATTACTTGCTCAATGCCTGTAATTATCTACACAAAACCTCATGTTTGCTATAACGAACACTCGGATTCAACGAGATTTTAGGTCAGGCCCGGTGACCTCGTTGAATCCGAGTTCCACTGTACCACATAGTGGTAGTAGGTAGAACAAAAATTATAATAAAGTGTGAGTGTGCATGATGCATGTTACATTGTGATGCATGCTTTAAAAAAGCGTTTCAATTACTGTTAAGAATTACGCGCACTCACACACACACACAAACACAAAATGTACCAGTGCACACATATACATGTATACACAATACCCTTGCACAGAGTCAGTCTTGCTTTTCCTCAGCACAAAATGTTGCGTCCATGCAGTTCTCTCTACTCAAAGCTATGACAGCCACTTCTTAGAAACATGTAGGCCCGCCTTCATGATTGAGACCTCTGAGTGCTAGTACAGTAAGCCTCACATCTAATGAATTAGTGAAGTTTGACTTTTTGTTTCACTGAGCCTGAGGTTTTGCTGAGTCTGAGTTAGGAAAATATGCAAAGTTTGCTGTACTGGTTAGCTCAAACTCAAATAATGAATACATACTCAGCTGGCCTTTAGTCTGAAAAATGTGGAGCAGATTTCCAATGTCTCTTACTTTAAAGAATTCGTCCTTGGTTATCTGTCCTTGTTTTCTCAAGCTGGGATGTCGTAATGTCTGGAAGGTTAAGGCCAGGATGTGATCGTCGCTGACCACGTGTCCAAGGAGAACCTTGTACAGTCGGAAGATCTCGTCATGTGTGAAAGTGTCGGTTCCGTACACATTGAAGGACTCAAATAGTGCTACAGGAAAAGATCAAGGACATTTCTGGCTATAAGCAAAAGTCGGAGTTAAAAAGAAGCAAAATTAGAAGCATTGCTACAGTCAGTTACTTCTGGGACAATGTGAAGCTTTTCATAAGAGACCACAGATGAACAGTAATGACAGCAGTAGCACTGTGGAGAACATTTAAAATACCTTGAACATATATATCTATTAATAGTATTAATTCTGAATATTTTAGCCTATCTTTTAATCTGCTCAGTACCTATGAAATTTTAAAATGACCCCAAATTTACAAAGCTTGAGTAAATGGCAAAAAATAGCTAGAGTTCAATCAATTCAGATTGACAAGCACTTAGCTTTCAACTTGCCTTTCTTTTTCTCTTCGGGACTTGTGTATGGACTTAAAAACAGACAGAATTTGATGAAATCTTGTAGATGCAGGCGTCCCGTGTTGGGGTCCAGGTAGTCATGGATGAGGATGGTGATGAGTTTGTTTCCAGCAAACTCTGGCATGGCCAGACAAACGTCTAAAGGAATTCCCTGATTTTCATGGCGGTCATAAGTCTGGTAGCGTCTTTGCAATGCTTGCCGCTGTCTTGTTGAAACTGAAGAAATAAAAATACACAACAAACATTATCAACATTTGAAGATATATACTGAGGATTATTTTAGTTGTATACAGTTCCATTCAAAAGGTATTTTTAAATATATACAGTCAAAATTGTCTAAGACAGTCGCTCATTGTTGAAAACTGATCACAAAATGAAGAAAACAAATCACTTGTCCATTTTGAGGTCTGACTGTATAAAGCATTATGTAGTACTTTTACTGAAGAATAATCTGAGACCTGCAAAAATTAGTCTTTAGTAACTGTAAAAAGATTAACTGAGCCCTAGCTCCCTCAGGTCAACTGCTATTGCTAGACTTTAACCACCACATGCTGCACACTGATGTTATGAGGGTTTGGTGTGCGAAAGGATAAAAGAAGTCATGCTGAGGTGTGTGCATGGGTCCACAAAAATAGTCAAAATGAGCAAAGAAATAAAGTAAACACTGCGATATATCTTACTTTAGAAATACTATTAGGTTTGAAGCATATGAGCCCCACTATATTCTTGTATATTTGTTAGATTTGACCACAGTAAGCATGACCTGTTTTATTATTTTAACAGTCTTAAGCTTTCTGGATATTATTATTATTATTATTATTACCAAAGCCTAACAGGGTCCCACAATGTAATGTAAGTAATATTACCATAATTATATAATGTTAATACCAACAAGTAATATTAATTAAAATGCTGCTAAAAAATGACTGATGGGACAGGCAATACATGCATTCAATTATATATACTGGAAAGACACTAAAGTTCTTACTCAAATATTATACAAGCCAACAGAGGAAAAAGTTATTAAATATATAAATATATACATGTGGCATAGGCATAGTCGTCTGTCTGCCGAGCCCCTCTGTGTCCACCTTGCTGTGCAGGGTTAGAAGCAGCTGCTCTGGCCGGACCATTTGCATTGCCCTGGGTAAAAGTTAAAGAAGACGAACATGTTTACAGGTCTGTGTTAAAAAACTGAAAACATAACTGTGACTTAAAAACAAGAAAAATGTTTTCTCTCTGCCAACACGATTCAGTTATTGGATCAGGGCCATTAACTCATCTGGCTGAACAGTGATAGAGCATCCCAACTAACAGACGGAGATACTTGAGAGGGCGGTCGCATAGACGCTCGACTGATGTGGTTCGTTTCCCATCATATGTCTAGCATCTTTATCTCCTCCATCTTTTTTGTGTTTGCACTCTCTTGCAACACGACTCTCTAAATTTCAGTTCTTAAATGACCTTATAAGTTATTGTATTGTGCTAAAAGTGTAGTTCTCTCTAAATTTCAGTTCTTAAATGACCTTATAAGTTATTGTATTGCGTTAAAAGTGTTGTTAAACTTACTAAAACTAAATGAGATAAGAGTCAAATCTTTAACACTACAAACCAATTGAGTCAAGGTAACCATAAAAATATAAATAATAAAGCATGATAACTGATGACGTAGCATGGCATAGATCTAGATCTAGATCTAGATCTAGATTCTATATGATATGGGCAACAATTAAACCATTCTCATTTTCATAAAAATAGATACGTGTCCACTAGGTACCTAGATCTAGTTCTAGTTCATCCCCATTTCCCTTCCAACCATTTGCTTGACCCACAAATTATGGGATGACGTCTCTTTTCCCTGCACAATTACACTAGACAGTCGAGGAACTAACCATCACATAAAATCATAAAAATAATTTATTTCAGGCGACAAGATAAGCAGGTTCAAGCATTTTTGTTTACAATGGAGACCAGATATGGGACAGACTTCCGGCTGATTGCTGCAGTTTCCGCAGTTTAAAACAGTTTTGAATCTAATGTAATGTTCCAATTCGTCGGAAACCAGTTTGCGTGTTCTCGCTTGAGAGAAATAGAGATACAGTTAAATATTATAATAATAT